TATGGAACATTTCAAAGCATATCAACAATGAATGAAACATTTCGGAGCTTATCAATGGCGTATGAAATGTTCCGGAGCATATCAACGGCATATGGAACATTTCGAAGCATATCAACAATGAATGAAACATTTCGGAGCTTATCAATGGCGTATGAATGTTCCGGAGCATATCAACGGTGTATGGAACATTTCGAAGCATATCAACGATGAATGAAACATTTCGGAGCATATAAATAACAAATGAAATGTTTCGGAGCTTATCAGTGGCATATGAAATGTTTCGAAGCATATCAATGGCGTTTGGAACATTTGGGAGCATATCAATAACAAATACCAAACAGAAGCTCAAACGTCGTCTTTGACGTTGCATTCATATCATTCTTATCCAAAGCATGTACAGAAACACATAACCAAAGCTCTGGATATCATATCAAACATACAGAAGGTGTAGTGGGACCACAGACAGAATGTGATTCATCCATTTCTGAATGACCACCAGACAGAAGTCTCCCACGTCTGGGAGCTCCATCCACCCACGTCTAGGTGAAGTCAGAGGGGGCCGGCAGAGCATCGCAGGCTCTATGCATAACTCCCTTTACCATTTCTGGCAAAGGTTCACATTATCCCACAACACCAGAGTACAAAAGGCCAGTATGAACAATAAATAGCATATATCGGAAGCACACGCGGAACAACAAAACGTACATGTGCCTTTACGAGTCAATACGATGCAAGCAACAATCTCACACAAATGTATTCAGATTTGGAATGAAATAAAAGCAAGAGTATACCAGGATTCCAAGCAATCATATGTAGCTCAATTCAAATAAGAATATTAGATGAATTCAATATCCAAATGAATGAAACTAGAATAGGCACATATCGAAACCAAATGTGGAACAATGGGATAGACATGTGCCTATATGTGTCAATGCGATATAGCATAAACGTTACACAAAAATGTTTCAAGAATGTAAATAATTTATAGGCAAGAGCAAACCAGAATTCAAGCACTAACATAAGCCTCAATTGAGCGAAGGGGACTGAATGGAATCTATTTACAAACGAATGAAACAGAATACGCGAAATCGACCAAAGCTCGATTTCTGACAGGATTCAAGAGGCACATTGAACAAATACTTCAGATTATCAATTATGCTCCAATACCCTCAAGAAGGCTATTGTCGAAAGATATATCAATTTATTTTCTGTTGAAACAAGTTTCGTACGGATCATGGTTTCCAACAAGGAGTTACCTTTGATTTGGTAACACAAGGTCAAAAACAAAATCACTGTTTTGCAAAATTCATAGGGTCGGATTCAACAGATAATAGGGTAGGCATTTGAATTCCAAATTTTTCAATCAATATGTCAAAAGAAAGGTCTACAAGTCTAGTTTCGAACGAAGTCAGTTTGGTACAAATCAGAATTTCTAACAGAGACTTATAGGTATTTTAGTATCAAAAGGTCAGAAATTTTGATCCCTGTTCTGCAGCATCTATAGGCTCATTTGAAACAGACGTTTGGGTAAGTATTCGGTGTCCAAAATCCACAAAATCAGTGTCAAAAGAAAGATATAAGAGTCTAATTTTAAACGAGCTAGGTCCTGCCTGAATCCACATTTGGTGCTAAAAATTATAGCTGAAAAAGTGTATAGGGGTCAGTTTACCGAAAAAATTTCAGATCCTTGATTTTATGTCCAAAGAGAGAAATATCAGGTTCTAAGCATAAATCATTCAGAATCAATATAGGAACAGAGACTAATACTTCTGTAGGATGGGGTTAGAACACTTGCCTTTGAGAATTATGACCCTAAATGAGAAGATTTGAGCAAGAAACCTCAAAGCCCCAATTTTTTTTCTTCTCTTCTTCCCCCTTTTCTTCTCTTCTTCTTTCTTTCTTTCTCCTGTTCTTCCACGCAGCTGCCTTCTTTGGTTCCTTAAGAACGAAGGCAGAGAGGCTTAAACGGTGGAATTTGTAATTTTATGCATTTTACAGTTTAATCCTTGTATTATTATATTTTACGATTAGGTCCTCAGGGTTTACATATAGGTCCTCAGATTTTTTTTTTGAACAAATCCCCATAATCTTATAAATAAGTTCTCATATTCATACTTTGGCTCTTTTATCAAATTTTAAATAGATACTTACATTATAAGTAGAAACTTATACGAAAATTCAGAAATGAGGGATGTTACACTATAAAGTATTTTAAAGCCTAGCTTTGAAGATGAGCGTAACACAATTATTCCAATGCATACACTATATCAGTTTCCTAATTGCTTTCTCAACATAAAATCAATAAATAAAAGGTAAAATCCACAGATTTATGGAGACGTGAACGAACATTATGATCCTTGATATAGATTCTTAGTACACAATAAATGTGCAAAAAAAGTACAGTTGATATATATTCTTCTTCAAGTTGGGACATGAAGAAGATTCAAAAAAACATCATAACCTTAGTGGCTTTCATTCAAGCATTTAACTATACAAACTCTTCATTCTAGCCATGATAAGACAAGTGCTATAAAGTATTTTAAAGCCTAGCTTTGAAGAATGAGCGCAACACAATTATTCCGATGCATACACTATATCAGTTTCCTAATTGCTTTCTCAACATATAATCAATATATAAAAGGTAAAATCCACAGATTTATGAAGACGTGAACGAACATTAGGATCCTTGATATAGATTCTTAGTACACAACAAACATGGAAAAAAATGTGCAGATATAATTCCAAAAAGCCATAACAGAACAGATGAATGATGGGTGATGATCCTACCCTTGCTTAGCCAAGGTTACACTACTTTTGTGCCTTGGTCTGGATAGGAGGTACTCAGCTTCCAAAAGATGAAACCAAGGCAACCAAGCTTTGGCAATACTTGCATACCTGAAGCAGAGGAGGCAAGATGACTTGGAAATGACTACAACATATATGGGTGATGATCCATATATAATCCCCCAAGTAAGCTTTATGAATTGGAAATGACTAAAAGATTGGTGATTCCTCATTGTCTGATGAGTATTTCTGAATAGCACCTTCCATGAGTTACAGCTGAGGGCTCAGATTTTGGATCTCAGCAACACTGCTAAACTCAAATGCTTTCTCCCCTTCTATCCCCTTACCATCTTTTCATCAAGATTACACAAGAAAAAAATATCTAGGACTTCTCAGTTGATCTTATATTTGTTGGCAACTTTAAAAAAGGATATGACAAAGTTATATAAAGACTTTGTTGCTAAAATGGAAAACATATCAACAAATCTAACCATCATATTCAATAGATCCTTCTTGACCAAGTTTCTAGTTGTTCATTTTTGGTTGGAGAACAACAAGTGTTGAGAAATGAGGACCTCCACAACAAATAATTTCATATTTTGAAGAATTTCCTGGAGGAAATGAATATTATGCTGCACAACAAATATATTGCAAAATTCAACCTGGGCATAAAAGAGCAAATCAAAGAAAACCCTTTGAAATGCTAAAGGCATTGACTTGCTTCAACAAATAAAATTTGAGATTTCCAAATCTGTGAGCAGTTTGCATTCTTCCAATGCAACATCCGACCTACAGGGCGTTGTACACAGCATTAATCATGCATTCACATTTTTTACTGAAGTCTACTTAGTTTCATGGTACATCACTGTACTAATGCCCAGTTGGACCGCTACATACAGGGCAGTTTACTCGATTTGCCATGATACTTAAAACCTTGGTTTCTAGGATTTGAGTAACAGTGTCTTTCTTATCATACTTACCATATAGACTAAACATCGTTTCCGAGGAGGTCGTGGTACCCGCCCTCCTCGGACGCGGTTGGCTGCCGCTCCTCCCGCTGCACGATCACCGCCTCGGAAGAGATGGAGGTGAAGGGCGCGGCGCGTCCGGGTGGTAGAGAAATCCAGGGAGGTGGAGGGAGGGTGAAGAAAAGGGAACTAGGGTTCGGGCGGGAGAAGAGAGGCCGCGGCGGAGAGCGTCGTCTTTGAGGAGTCTCGCGAAACACCGCGGTCGAGTTGCATCATAGAGGTTATCGTTTGGAAGCTTCAGGTGGTCGGCCAATTGGTATTGGATTGGCCCATTATGTGGTGAGACTTCGATCCGTTGATCACGACTTCGATCAATGCAATTGATGCCATGGAAATTGACCTTATTTTATAATATAACATATATCAATTAAATATTTTAACTTAAATCGTTCTTTTATTATTGGGTATTTATGTCCCTAAATATCACTGGATGGATAGGCTAATTTGGTATTACAATCATCACATCTTTTCCAGTCATCCAACAATGATTTTGACGGTCTAAACGACCTTCCGATGTAAATAAGTAATTTAATTTAATATAGTTAGTAAGGATTTTTTTTCTCTTTTTTTGCATGTAAATGCCTTTTGTAAATACTAAATTGCATATTTACCCCTTAAAAGTCCAAATATAAAAAATCCTGATTTAATATTTACGAATCTTAAAGTTCTTATAAATAAATAAAATATATTTTTAAAATAAAAAATTGACATATATGATGCCTAGACTCGAAACATATCACTTGTGCAATATATTACATAACTAATCAAGGTATTTAAATGAAAGAAATAATAATATAATCAGAAATAACAGGCCAAAAGTTGGGAGATTAGGCTTGATAATAAATCACGTGAGTGTCACGTGACGGGCGATTTGATTCGATGCCGTTACTTCCCTCTCCCTCCCTCGGCCGAACTCTTCCAAGAAGCCAAAACCAAGTGGGCGTTCCTCCACCGCCCCCCTTTCCCCCTGCCTTCCCTTCTTCCATGTGCGCGACGCTGAGAGGAACCCACTCCTTTGCCTCTCCCAAGCACAAAGATGGCAAGTAGTGTTAGGCTGCGCAACCTCCGCTCTCCACCACCGCCCCCCAAACGCACAAAAGACGGCCCACCATTCCCCCAATTAACCCCATTCGCCGTGCGTGGCCGCTACGCCACCCGCTGCCACTTCGGCGGCCCTTGCCCGACCTCTTGCGCTCCCTTTCGGGGGCACTTGCTCGTGGGCTTCTCTGACCGCACGCCCATTGCCTTCGCTGTCAGCCGCCGTCCCTCACCTTCTCCCCCTCGTTATATGCCCCAGGCTGTGCGCCGAATCCAGGTATTGACGTTGGGGGCAGAATCGTTGAGGGGAGGATTGGTTGATAACGGCGTCGATGGCGGTCCACCGGATTCTTAGCCTCCGGCTTCTTTCCTACCTCTGCTTCCCTCTCCTACTCGGCTTCCGGTTCTACCGATGCTTTACGTACCCGACGGAGAGCGCGAACCGCTCGACCCCGTCGTCGTCCCGCCCCGCGGCGGGCGTAGACCGGACCACCAAGAAACTGCGGAAGCCCTACACCATCACCAAGTCGAGGGACAGGTGGACGGCCGAGGAGCACGAGAGGTTTCTCGATGCTCTCCTGCTGTAATGTCCACTCGTCATCCTCCTACTCTCGTTCTCTTTTTACATGGTTTCATGTTCGTCGATTATTCTTCTCCTCCGAGCAATAAAATTTTTATGATCCTTTGATTGGATCATATGATGCGAATTCTAGATGAAAAGAAATAGTAAGAGTAAGTTTGAGTTAGGTGACTAAACCAATGAATTAAAATTATTCATACCAATGATTTTGTTAGGTAACAGAATAAATATCAATTCCGACTTCAGCTTATTAAATTGATGGCTAAATCTAATATTTGTCAACTGACTCTTTCTTAACGTTCATTGTCCTCTTAAAATCTCTCATCTTACACAAAAAATAATATATATATATATATATATATATATTATATATATATAT